CATTCCTTCCCTTGGTGCAGTTATTAACAACTTTAACTTAATGGGAGCCAATTTTAAGTTTATAAAATTTTGGCTAGCTGCAATTATATATTGCACTTTTAATATTTCAGTTATGAGTGCATTACACAAAGTATAAAAATGTGTGGTATAATATGTTAAAGAAAAGGTATACTCTTTGTATTATTTACAAAAAAATTCAGCAAGATGAAAATTAACTACAAGGAAATCATATTTTAATGTGAAATTTAACATTGCATTTCTTCTGAGAGTTTTTTTTCTCCCTCTGGTACATGCTATGTTATGGCTAAATCCATGCAGTCGTCCGGATGTGTGTTTGTTATTCTGTATCTGAACATTGATTTTAACAAGTTTGTTGTTGAAAATCCTCTTTCACATTTTTAAGTAGATCGAAAGCAGGAATTTATCTTTTTAAAAGTTTAACAGTTCATGATTTTTCTGATCTAGGACTATTCAAATGGCTTTTTGTGATATTCTTCATCTTAATTAGGATGAAAACCAGTTATTTCTATTTCTAGATCAGTAGAATTGTTAACATATTTGCAATCTTTTACCATTTTTCTTAAATACTAGTCTTATGTAATGGGTTTGAAGTGAATGTAGTAGTTGGCCTAATTTTAAATACACTCAAAACATCTAATTTAGAAACTAATTTAAGCTCGATGAGATTTTCCAAATGTTTGTTTCAGTTTTCTTATATTTCACGCTTTAGTTCTCCAGATTTTCAAAGTGGCAAAATGTACATTGCATTATGGTAAAAATGTATATTCCTTATATTTGTGTAATATTTTTACAAAATTAATTTTGATTTAAAATGAATTTAAAATAACTTTAAATTCAAAGACTTTAGTTTTCTCTCCCTGCTCAAGTTTAAGATATTAGTTATTATGTCTGTAAGAATGACTAAATCGTAGAACCAATTATGGTCTATAATTTCTTCATGAGTTTCGTTTCTGGATTCTTAAAATTCTTCTATCAAACTTTTGTAACAGAAGCTGGGATGGAACCCAGGCAGCCAGACAGAATGTCCCTTCCCTGAGTGAAAATTTCTATCATTTCACTGAAAGTGACATTATAATATATTTCAGAATAAACCCTCGTAACACTAATAAATGTATGTAGATTTTTTTTTTTAATGTTTATATAATGCGTGTTTGGTTCTTACAATATTTTGAGCTATTATATTACTAATTCTGTATGTGAGCTTAAGACAGTTTAATATAGAACATCCTGCTTCAAGGCTAAAAGTAAAGTATTTGAATTGTGTTTTACCTTTCGTGTGTTTTGAGACGGTACGTTCTCTAATCTACAATTTACGGAATTTCTCGGTATTGGACATCTCACATAGCTGACAAAATTTCATTCCTATGTTTAGGTTTTATAGTAGTACAATAAGTTGAGCATCCCTACATTAGTATATGACTGATTCCTTCGAAAGAAAAAAAGAGTATCTTAGTTTTGTTGAATTTTTGGTCAAAATTTTAGTATATAGGTAATTGCAATAGCTCTTTCACGAAATTTTATTTAAATTTTTTGCAACATTTCAAAATGCTGTATCATTCAATGGCATTTGATGTGTTTTGGCTTGCTGTATTAAAGCTGGGCTCGAACCCGGGCAGCTAGACAATATGTTCTTTCCCTGAGTGAAATATTGCTATAATTTCATTAAAGTGACGTGGTAATATTTCAGGATAATTTCTTGTACATTGGACTAAGCTGTCCTCTCTCATGGATGAGTGTACCTAAGTAAAGAACTTAAAATGAGAAACGGTTCTTGCGTTAAAATTCTGAATGAAATATTTATTTTATGGTTTATGACTTTTGTTTCCAAGATGTTTTTCGAAATCTGTTTTTAGAATGGTGTTTTTGAGCCCTTTCTAAAAAAAAAAAAAAAAAAGCTATAAAAGTATATATGTATAGCTCTTTTAATGTCAATATATTGCGAGTTTGATTCTTACTCTTTTTTGATCTGTTATGTCACTAATTCTGTGTGTGAATTAAGATAGTTTTATATATAACACCTGCTTCAAAGCTAACAGTAAAGTTTATTTTGTTTATTTGTCATTTAAAATTACCTGCTTATTGACTTTCGGTGCCATCTTTGTACCAGCGCTAAAATTATTTACTTTTCTCGAAGATCATTATCCCTTTTATTCTGTGTATCCGTAATAACTGTATAATTTTTTTTCTTTCATTTTTCATGTTGTACCCATACATTAAAAACCCCCTTTCGCTAACTGTACTTCTGTCGTATTAGGGAAAATCATTTGCTTTTCTATCGACTGCAATCATGATTTTAGTAACAATGTAGCACATTGCTGGAATTTAAAACAAAGAAGCTACTTTTGAAGTTTTATATATTAAGAAACAATATTAGATATTTCTCTTTGTGTATAGATTATTCTTTAATTTCAAAGTAGTTAAAATCTAATGATTCCTTTTTCCCCCCTTGGCCTCTTCTAGTGTAATTTGTCATCATTTTTGTGCACTCTTGGATTGCAGAACATGATATCGTGAAAGAAAAAGAATGGAGAAATAGTGCAGAGCAAAAAGACATCTGTGGCTGGTAATTCTTGTTTTATATATTAACTTTATTTTCACTAGAAATGCTTGAATGTTATAATTTGTAGGTCCCTTTTCACATGTTGCTTTATATTGGAGTTTTACTACTTATTTATTTTACGTGAACGCTTCAGTTTTAATGTTTAGGGTAGCGTCTATGCATTAATTTCTTAGGTTTTGAATTCCATATTGAAGTGTCTGAATTGGTTCTTTCTTTATATTGTATTGTAATATTCGAAGTGAGGTTGAACTGTTAATCACACTATAATTATCAGAAGTCTGAGATTTGTTAGAGTTCTGTTGCTTCTTAGTGGTTTCAAAATTACTGCTGTAGTGTAATTTTTTCCCAAGTGGCCTCCTTTCGCATTACGAGGAGGAGGCTAAGCATTTTCCTCTCTGTGTGGGCCTAATATTTTCCTTGTCTAACGGGGTCTTCTCTTCCCAACAGGTCAGTGTAATTACTCTGCCTGTGTATAAACCAATTTTGTTTCAGTTTTTTCCCGAATTTAGAGTCTCTCTATCAAGTGCTGTTTCTCTTAAAACCACCATTGAAAGTTAAATGTTGAACAAAAAAGAAATGTAAATAAAAATTTAATGAGTACTCGTAATGAAAGTTAGTGGGGCCAAATTGTCTTCTGTTAAGGCTGCTCAAAATGTGCTTTTTATTAGTTGTTTTAAGCATACTTTATTATAATTTTTTTTCCCTTAATCTGAGCTATTTTGGCATATTGGGAGGTTTTATGAACCTATTTGCGAAGATCTATTTAAAATTGATTTCACAAATAAAAATTCGTTTTGAAATCAAATCAGAGATGTTTTATTATTATCGAAGTAAAATTCTGCAGAATAACTTTCCTATTTGTTTTGCAAAGCACTCTGAAAGTTTCTTTTGGACTTGTTTTCGTTCTCTTGGCAAATACATGACAGAATTATTTTTTGAAAATGCTGATGTCTTTTGCTTATAAGAATGACTGATGCAACTGTATGCGTGCCGCTGTAAAGAGCACATGTTTCCCAGTGTCCTGTTTTTTCTTTAATTGGGTAATTCTTCGCTAGAAGATCAGACATTGCTTTTTGTGTTATTTAACAATTTCTTCATCTTATCTTCAGTTAAAAGCTCTTCTTCATAATGAGCGCTTTTATTATCAAGGGGTTTTATAAGACCCCAATTCTTCTTTTGTAATTTTCTGATTCATTGTTTGACTTCTCTGTCTTCCATATGTGAAAATTCTTCGGCATCGATTGCTTTTGAAATTTGTAAGATTTTTCGGACTTCATTTTCAGTCGATGGAAATTGTTTAAAGTAGCAGATAAATTCTTTCCGGTGTTGATGGATGAATGTTGCACCACGTATGAATGAAATTCTAGCAGTGGACAAATAAAATGGGATCCTTTAAGGTACTGCTATACGCGAAATCACGCTTTACAAGTCTGCGCTCAGCAAGTACCTGCCGTATTAAAAATGATAGACTACGAAATATGACTTGAAGAATTGTATGAGTTATTTGGAATGCAGATTGGGAGTTTAGTCGTGATAGGTAAACAGTCTATACAGATGACCGGAAATAATAAAAATTTAGATGGGTGTACTATAAAGTATTTTACTCCTGGACCATGGATTAGTCATAAACAGTACTTGTGTAAAAACAGATTAAAGTATATATGAATTCCCTGTTTAAGAAAGGAATTTCTCTATGACAGTATGCAGTCTGTATCATAGCTGGAATAGCGAGGTGTTGTGTCTTCAGGGAAACAAAATCTGTTATTCTGTAATTTTTCCTGAAAATGTGTGTTTAAATTTTGTTACCTAGGTAACCTATTTTTTTTAACTCTTTCTATATGAAAATGAAACCAAATACAGACAAAGAAATAAAATTGCATTCCTTCCCTTGGTGCAGTTATTAACAACTTTAACTTAATGGGAGCCAATTTTAAGTTTATAAAATTTTGGCTAGCTGCAATTATATATTGCACTTTTAATATTTCAGTTATAAGTGCATTACACAAAGTATAAAAATGTGTGGTATAATATCTTAAAGAAAAGGTATACTCTTTGTATTATTTACAAAAAATTCAGCAAGATGAAAATTAAATACAGGGAAATCATATTTTAATGTGAAATTTAACATTGCATTTCTTCTGAGAGTTTTTTTTTTTTTTCCTCTCCTCTGGTACATGCGATGTTATGGCTAAATCCATGCAGTCGTCCAGGATGTTTGTTTGTTATTCTGTATCTGAACATTGATTTTAACAAGTTGTTGTTGAAAATCCTCTTTCACATTTTTAAGTAGATCGAAAGCAGGAATTTATCTTTTTAAAAGTTTAACAGTTCATGATTTTTCTGATCTAGGACTATTCAAATGGCTTTTTGTGATATTCTTCATCTTAATTAGGATGAAAACCAGTTATTTCTTTCTATTTCTAGATCAGTAGAATTGTTAACATATTTGCAATCTTTTACCATTTTTCTTAAATACTAGTCTTATGTAATGGGTTTGAAGTGAATGTAGTAGTTGGCCTAATTTTAAATACACTCAAAACATCTAATTTAGAAACTAATTTAAGCTCGATGAGATTTTCCAAATGTTTGTTTCAGTTTTCTTATATTTCACGCTTTAGTTCTCCAGATTTTCAAAGTGGCAAAATGTACATTGCATTATGGTAAAAATGTATATTCCTTATATTTGTGTAATATTTTTACAAAATTAATTTTGATTTAAAATGAATTTAAAATACCCTTGAATTCAAAGACTTAGTTTAGTTCTCTCCCCCCCTCAGGTTTTAAGATTTTAGTTGTTATGTCTGTAAGAATGACTAAATCATAGAACCAATTATGGTCAATAATTTCTTCATAAGTTTCGTTTCTGGATTTTTAAAATTCTTCTATGAAACTTTTGTAACAGAAGCTGGGATGGAACCCAGGCAGCCAGACAGAATGTCCCTTCCCTGAGTGAAAATTTCTATCATTTCACTGAAAGTGACATTATAATATTTCAGAATAAACCCTCGTAACACTAATAAATGTATGTAGATTTTTTTTTAATGTTTATATAATGCGTGTTTGGTTCTTACAATATTTTGAGCTATTATATTACTAATTCTGTATGTGAGCTTAAGACAGTTTAATATAGAACATCTGCTTCAAGGCTAAAAGTAAAGTATTTGAATTGTGTTTTACCTTTCGTGTGTTTTGAGACGGTACGTTCTAATTCTACAATTTACGGAATTTCTCGGTATTGGACATCTCACATAGCTGACAAAATTTCATTCCTATGTTTAGGTTTTATAGTACAATAAGTTGAGCATCCCTACATTAGTATATGACTTTGATTCCTTCGAAAGAAAAAAAGAGTATCTTAGTTTTGTTGAATTTTTGGTCAAAATTTTAGTATATAGGTAATTGCAATAGCTCTTCTTTCACGAAATTTTATTTAAATTTTTTGCAACATTTCAAAATGCTGTATCATTCAATGGCATTTGATGTGTTTTGGCTTGCTGTATTAAAGCTGGGCTCGAACCCGGGCAGCTAGACAATATGTTCTTTCCCTGAGTGAAATATTGCTATAATTTCATTAAAGTGACGTGGTAATATTACAGGATAATTTCTTGTACATTGGACTAAGCTGTCCTCTCTCATGGATGAGTGTACCTAAGTAAAGAACTTAAAATTAGAAACGGTTCTTGCGTTAAAATTCTGAATGAAATATTTATTTTATGGTTTATGACTTTTGTTTCCAAGATGTTTTTCGAAATCTGTTTTTAGAATGGTGTTTTTGAGCCCTTTCTAAAAAAAAAAAAAAAAAAAAGCTATAAAAGTATATATGTATAGCTCTTTTAATGTCAATATATTGCGAGTTTGATTCTTACTCTTTTTTGATCTGTTATGTCACTAATTCTGTGTGTGAATTAAGATAGTTTTATATATAACACCTGCTTCAAAGCTAACAGTAAAGTTTATTTTGTTTATTTGTCATTTAAAATTACCTGCTTATTGACTTTCGGTGCCATCTTTGTACCAGCGCTAAAATTATTTACTTTTCTCGAAGATCATTATCCCTTTTATTCTGTGTATCTGTAATAACTGTATAATTTTTTTTTCTTTCATTGTTCATGTTGTACCCATACATTAAAAACCTCTTTCGCTTACTGTACTTCTGTCGTATTAAGGAAAATCATTTGCTTTTCTATCGACTGCAATCATGATTTTAGTAACAATGTAGCACATTGCTGGAATTTAAAACAAAGAAGGCTACTTTTGAAGTTTTATATATTAAGAAACAATATTAGATATTTCTCTTTGTGTATAGATTATTCTTTAATTTCAAAGTAGTTAAAATCTAATGATTCCTTTTTTCCCCCCCCCTTGGCCTCTTCTAGTGTAATTTGTCATCATTTTTGTGCACTCTTGGATTGCAGAACATGATATCATGAAAGAAAAAGAACGGAGAAATAGTGCAGAGCAAAAAGACATCTGTGGCTGGTAATTCTTGTTTTATATTAACTTTATTTTCACTAGAAATGCTTGAATGTTATAATTTGTAGGTCCCTTTTCACATGTTGCTTTATATTGGAGTTTTACTACTTATTTATTTTACGTGAACGCTTCACATTATGTTTTAATGTTTAGGGTAGCGTCTATGCATTAATTTCTTAGGTTTTGAATTCCATATTGAAGTGTCTGAATTGGTTCTTTCTTTATATTGTATTGTAATATTCGAAGTGAGGTTGAACTGTTAATCACACTATAATTATCAGAAGTCTGAGATTTGTTAGAGTTCTGTTGCTTCTTAGTGGTTTCAAAATTACTGCTGTAGTGTAATTTTTTCCCAAGTGGCCTCCTTTCGCATTACGAGGAGGAGGCTAAGCATTTTCCTCTCTGTCTGGCCTAATATTTTCCTTGTCTAACGGGGTCTTCTCTTCCCAACAGGTCAGTGTAATTACTCTGCCTGTGTATAAATAAACCAATTTTGTTTCAGTTTTTTCCCGAATTTAGAGTCTGTCTATCAAGTGCTGTTTCTCTTAAAACCATTGAAAGTTAAATGTTGAACAAAAAAGAAATGTAAATAAAAATTTAATGAGTACTCGTAATGAAAGTTAGTGGGGCCAAATTGTCTTCTGTTAAGGCTGCTCAAAATGTGCTTTTTATTAGTTGTTTTAAGCATACTTTATTAAATTTTTCCCTTAATCTGAACTATTTTGGCATATTGGGAAGTTTTATGAACCTATTTGCGAAGATCTATTTAAAATTGATTTCACAAATAAAAATTCGTTTTGAAATCAAATCAGAGATGTTTTATTATTATCGAAGTAAAATTCTGCAGAATAACTTTCCACTTTGTTTTGCAAAGCACTCTGAAAGTTTCTTTTGGACTTCGTTCTCTTGGCAAATACATGACAGAATTATTTTTTTGAAAAAGCTGATGTCTTTTGCTTATAAGAATGACTTGATGCAACTGTATGCGTGCCGCTGTAAAGAGCACATGTTTCCCAGTTTTTAAAGTCTGTTTTTTTTTTTTTCTTTAATTGGGTAATTCTTCGCTAGAAGATCAGACATTGCTTTTTGTGTTATTTAACAATTTCTTCATCTTATCTTCAGTTAAAAGCTCTTCTTCATAATGAGCGCTTTTATTATCAAGGGGTTTTATAAGACCCCAATTCTTCTTTTGTAATTTTCTGATTCATTGTTTGACTTCTCTGTCTTCCATATGTGAAAATTCTTCGGCATCGATTTGCTTTTGAGAATTTGTAAGATTTTTTGGACTTCATTTTCAGTCGTCGATGGAAATTGTTTAAAGTAGCAGATAAATTCTTTCCGGTGTTGATGGATGAATGTTGCACCACGTATGAATGAAATTCTAGCAGTGGACAAATAAAATGGGATCCTTTAAGGTACTGCTATACGCGAAATCACGCTTTACAAGTCTGCGCTCAGCAAGTACCTGCCGTATTAAAAATGATAGACTACGAAATATGACTTGAAGAATGGTATGAGTTATGTGGAATGCAGATTGGGAGTTTAGTCGTGATAGGTAAACGGTCTATACAGATGACCGGAAATAATAAAAATTTAGATGGGTGTACTATAAAGTATTTTACTCCTGGACCATGGATTAGTCATAAACAGTACTTGTGTAAAAACAGATTAAAGTATATGAATTCCCTGTTTAAGAAAGGAATTTCTCTATGACAGTATGCAGTCTGTATCATAGCTGGAATAGCGAGGTGTTGTGTCTTCAGGGAAACAAAATCTGTTATTCTGTAATTTTTCCTGAAAATGTGTGTTTAAATTTTGTTACCTAGGTAACCTATTTTTAACTCTTTCTATATGAAAATGAAACCAAATACAGACAAAGAAATAAAATTGCATTCCTTCCCTTGGTGCAGTTATTAACAACTTTAACTTAATGGGAGCCAATTTTAAGTTTATAAAATTTTGGCTAGCTGCAATTATATATTGCACTTTTAATATTTCAGTTATAAGTGCATTACACAAAGTATAAAAATGTGTGGTATAATATCTTAAAGAAAAGGTATACTCTTTGTATTATTTACAAAAAAATTCAGCAAGATGAAAATTAAATACAGGGAAATCATATTTTAATGTGAAATTTAACATTGCATTTCTTCTGAGAGTTTTTTTTTTCTCCCTCTGGTACATGCGATGTTATTGCTAAATCCATGCAGTCGTCCGGAGATGTTTGTTTGTTATTCTGTATCTGAACATTGATTTTAACAAGTTGTTGTTGAAAATCCTCTTTCACATTTTTAAGTAGATCGAAAGCAGGAATTTATCTTTTTAAAAGTTTAACAGTTCATGATTTTTCTGATCTAGGACTATTCAAATGGCTTTTTGTGATATTCTTCATCTTAATTAGGATGAAAACCAGTTATTTCTATTTCTAGATCAGTAGAATTGTTAACATATTTGCAATCTTTTACCATTTTTCTTAAATACTAGTCTTATGTAATGGGTTTGAAGTGAACGTAGTAGTTGGCCTAATTTTAGAAACTAATTTAAGCTCGATGAGATTTTTCCAAATGTTTGTTTCAGTTTTCTTATATTTCACGCTTTAGTTCTCCAGATTTTCAAAGTGGCAAAATGTACATTGCATTATGGTAAAAATGTATATTCCTTATATTTGTGTAATATTTTTACAAAATTAATTTTGATTTAAAATGAATTTAAAATACCCTTAAATTCAAAACTTTAGTTTAGTTCTCTCCCCCCCCTCAAGTTTAAGATTTTAGTTATTATGTCTGTAAGAATGACTAAATCATAGAACCAATTATGGTCAATAATTTCTTCATAAGTTTCGTTTCTTTCTGGATTTTTAAAATTCTTCTATGAAACTTTTGTAACAGAAGCTGGGATGGAACCCAGGCAGCCAGACAGAATGTCCCTTCCCTGAGTGAAAATTTCTATCATTTCACTGAAAGTGACATTATAATATTTCAGAATAAACCCTCGTAACACTAATAAATGTATGTAGATTTTTTTTTTTAATGTTTATATAATGCGTGTTTGGTTCTTACAACATTTTGAGCTATTATATTACTAATTCTGTATGTGAGCTAAGACAGTTTAATATAGAACATCTGCTTCAAGACTAAAAGTAAAGTATTTGAATTGTGTTTTACCTTTCGTGTGTTTTGAGAGGTACGTTCTAATCTACAATTTATGGAATTTCTCGGTATTGGACATCTCACATAGCTGACAAAATTTCATTCCTATGTTTAGGTTTTATAGTACAATAAGTTGAGCATCCCTACATTAGTATATGACTTTGATTCCTTCGAAAGAAAAAAAAGAGTATCTTAGTTTTGTTGAATTTTTGGTCAAAATTTTAGTATATAGGTAATTGCAATAGCTCTTTCACGAAATTTTATTTAAATTTTTTGCAACATTTCAAAATGCTGTATCATTCAATGGCATTTGATGTGTTTTGGCTTGCTGTATTAAAGCTGGGCTCGAACCCGGGCAGCTAGACAATATGTTCTTTTCCTGAGTGAAATATTGCTATCATTTCATTAAAGTGACGTGGTAATATTTACAGGATAATTTCTTGTACATTGGACTAAGCTGTCCTCTCTCATGGATGAGTGTACCTAAGTAAAGAACTTAAAATTAGAAAGGGTTCTTGCGTTAAAATTCTGAATGAAATATTTATTTTATGGTTTATGACTTTTGTTTCCAAGATGTTTTTCGAAATCTGTTTTTAGAATGGTGTTTTTGAGCCCTTTCTAAAAAAAAAAAAAAAAAAAAAAAGCTATAAAAGTATATATGTATAGCTCTTTTAATGTCAATATATTGCGAGTTTGATTCTTACTCTTTTTTGATCTGTTATGTCACTAATTCTGTGTGTGAATTAAGATAGTTTTATATATAACACCTGCTTCAAAGCTAACAGTAAAGTTTATTTTGTTTATTTGTCATTTAAAATTACCTGCTTATTGACTTTCGGTGCCATTTTTGTACCTGCGCTAAAATTATTTACTTTTCTCGAAGATCATTTTCCCTTTTATTCTGTGTATCTGTAATAACTGTATAATTTTTTTTTTCTTTCATTGTTCATGTTGTACCCATACATTAAAAACCTCTTTCGCTTACTGTACTTCTGTCGTATAAGGAAAATCATTTGCTTTTCTATCGACTGCAATCATGATTTTAGTAACAATGTAGCACATTGCTGGAATTTAAAACAAAGAAGGCTACTTTTGAAGTTTTATATATTAAGAAACAATATTAGATATTTCTCTTTGTGTATAGATTATTCTTTAATTTCAAAGTAGTTAAAATCTAATGATTCCTTCCCCCCCCCCCTTGGCCTCTTCTAGTGTAATTTGTCATCATTTTTGTGCACTCTTGGATTGCAGAACATGATATCATGAAAGAAAAAGAACGGAGAAATAGTGCAGAGCAAAAAGACATCTGTGGCTGGTAATTCTTGTTTTATATTAACTTTATTTTCACACTAGAAATGCTTGAATGTTATAATTTGTAGGTCCCTTTTCACATGTTGCTTTATATTGGAGTTTTACTACTTATTTATTTTACGTGAACGCTTCACATTATGTTTTAATGTTTAGGGTAGCGTCTATGCATTAATTTCTTAGGTTTTGAATTCCATATTGAAGTGTCTGAATTGGTTCTTTCTTTATATTGTATTGTAATATTCGAAGTGAGGTTGAACTGTTAATCACACTATAATTATCAGAAGTCTGAGATTTGTTAGAGTTCTGTTGCTTCTTAGTGGTTTCAAAATTACTGCTGTAGTGTAATTTTTTCCCAAGTGGCCTCCTTTCGCATTACGAGGAGGAGGCTAAGCATTTTCCTCTCTGTCTGGCCTAATATTTTCCTTGTCTAACGGGGTCTTCTCTTCCCAACAGGTCAGTGTAATTACTCTGCCTGTGTATAAACCAATTTTGTTTCAGTTTTTTCCGAATTTAGAGTCTGTCTATCAAGTGCTGTTTCTCTTAAAACCATTGAAAGTTAAATGTTGAACAAAAAAGAAATGTAAATAAAAATTTAATGAGTACTCGTAATGAAAGTTAGTGGGGCCAAATTGTCTTCTGTTAAGGCTGCTCAAAATGTGCTTTTTATTAGTTGTTTTAAGCATACTTTATTAAATTTTTCCCTTAATCTGAACTATTTTGGCATATTGGGAAGTTTTATGAACCTATTTGCGAAGATCTATTTAAAATTGATTTCACAAATAAAAATTCGTTTTGAAATCAAATCAGAGATGTTTTATTATTATCGAAGTAAAATTCTGCAGAATAACTTTCCACTTTGTTTTGCAAAGCACTCTGAAAGTTTCTTTTGGACTTGTTTTCGTTCTCTTGGCAAATACATGACAGAATTATTTTTTGAAAATGCTGATGTCTTTTGCTTATAAGAATGACTGATGCAACTGTATGCGTGCCGCTGTAAAGAGCACATGTTTCCCAGTGTCCTGTTTTTTCTTTAATTGGGTAATTCTTCGCTAGAAGATCAGACATTGCTTTTTGTGTTATTTAACAATTTCTTCATCTTATCTTCAGTTAAAAGCTCTTCTTCATAATGAGCGCTTTTATTATCAAGGGGTTTTATAAGACCCCAATTCTTCTTTTGTAATTTTCTGATTCATTGTTTGACTTCTCTGTCTTCCATATGTGAAAATTCTTCGGCATCGATTGCTTTTGAAATTTGTAAGATTTTTCGGACTTCATTTTCAGTCGATGGAAATTGTTTAAAGTAGCAGATAAATTCTTTCCGGTGTTGATGGATGAATGTTGCACCACGTATGAATGAAATTCTAGCAGTGGACAAATAAAATGGGATCCTTTAAGGTACTGCTATACGCGAAATCACGCTTTACAAGTCTGCGCTCAGCAAGTACCTGCCGTATTAAAAATGATAGACTACGAAATATGACTTGAAGAATTGTATGAGTTATTTGGAATGCAGATTGGGAGTTTAGTCGTGATAGGTAAACAGTCTATACAGATGACCGGAAATAATAAAAATTTAGATGGGTGTACTATAAAGTATTTTACTCCTGGACCATGGATTAGTCATAAACAGTACTTGTGTAAAAACAGATTAAAGTATATGAATTCCCTGTTTAAGAAAGGAATTTCTCTATGACAGTATGCAGTCTGTATCATAGCTGGAATAGCGAGGTGTTGTGTCTTCAGGGAAACAAAATCTGTTATTCTGTAATTTTTCCTGAAAATGTGTGTTTAAATTTTGTTACCTAGGTAACCTATTTTTAACTCTTTCTATATGAAAATGAAACCAAATACAGACAAAGAAATAAAATTGCATTCCTTCCCTTGGTGCAGTTATTAACAACTTTAACTTAATGGGAGCCAATTTTAAGTTTATAAAATTTTGGCTAGCTGCAATTATATATTGCACTTTTAATATTTCAGTTATAAGTGCATTACACAAAGTATAAAAATGTGTGGTATAATATCTTAAAGAAAAGGTATACTCTTTGTATTATTTACAAAAAAATTCAGCAAGATGAAAATTAAATACAGGGAAATCATATTTTAATGTGAAATTTAACATTGCATTTCTTCTGAGAGTTTTTTTTTTTCTCCCTCTGGTACATGCGATGTTATTGCTAAATCCATGCAGTCGTCCGGATGTTTGTTTGTTATTCTGTATCTGAACATTGATTTTAACAAGTTTGTTGTTGAAAATCCTCTTTCACATTTTTAAGTAGATCGAAAGCAGGAATTTATCTTTTTAAAAGTTTAACAGTTCATGATTTTTCTGATCTAGGACTATTCAAATGGCTTTTTGTGATATTCTTCATCTTAATTAGGATGAAAACCAGTTATTTCTATTTCTAGATCAGTAGAATTGTTAACATATTTGCAATCTTTTACCATTTTTCTTAAATACTAGTCTTATGTAATGGGTTTGAAGTGAATGTAGTAGTTGGCCTAATTTTAAATACACTCAAAACATCTAATTTAGAAACTAATTTAAGCTCGATGAGATTTTCCAAATGTTTGTTTCAGTTTTCTTGTATTTCACGCTTTAGTTCTCCAGATTTTCAAAGTGGCAAAATGTACATTGCATTATGGTAAAAATGTATATTCCTTATATTTGTGTAATATTTTTACAAAATTAATTTTGATTTAAAATGAATTTAAAATAACCTTAAATTCAAAGACTTTAGTTCTCTTCCCTGCTCAATTTTAAGATTTTAGTTATTATGTCTGTAAGAATGACTAAATCATAGAACCAATTATGGTCAATAATTTCTTCATGAGTTTCGTTTCTGGATTCTTAAAATTCTTCTATCAAACTTTTGTAACAGAAGCTGGGATGGAACCCAGGCAGCCAGACAGAATGTCCCTTCCCTGAGTGAAAATTTCTATCATTTCACTGAAAGTGACATTATAATATTTCAGAATAAACCCTCGTAACACTAATAAATATATGTAGATTTTTTTTTAATGTTTATATAATGCGTGTTTGGTTCTTACAATATTTTGAGCTATTATATTACTAATTCTGTATGTGAGTTAAGACAGTTTAATATAGAATACCTGCTTCAAGGCTAAAAGTATTTGGATTGTGTTTTACCTTTCGTGTGTTTTGAGACGTACGTTCTATTCTACAATTTACGGAATTTCTCGGTATTGGATATCTCAGATAGCTGACAAAATTTCATTCCTATGTTTAGGTTTTATAGTACAATAAGTTAAGCATCCCTACATTAGTATATGACTTTGATTCCTTCGAAAGAAAAAAAGAGTATCTTAGTTTTCTTGAATTTTTGGTCAAAATTTTAGTATATATGTAATTGCAATATCTCTTTCACAAAATTTTATTTAAATTTTTTTGCAACATTTCAAAATGCTGTATCATTCAATGGCATTTGATGTGTTTTGGCTTGCTGTATTAAACCTGGGCTCGAACCCGGGCAACTAGATAATATGTTCTTTTCCTGAGTGAAATATTGCTATAATTTCATTAAAGTGATGTGGTAATATTTCAGGATAATTTCTTGTACATTGGACTAAGCTCTCCTCTCTCATGGATGAGTGTACCTAAGTAAAGAACTTAAAATGAGAAACGGTTCTTGCGTTAAAATTCTGAATGAAATATTTATTTTATGGTTTATGACTTTTGTTTCCAAGATGTTTTTTCAAAATCTGTTTGTAGAATGGTGTTTTTGAGCCCTTTCTAAAAAAAAAAAAAAAAGCTATAAAAGTATATATGTATAGCTCTTTTAATGTTAATATATTGCGAGTTTGATTCTTACTCTTTTTTGATCTGTTATGTCACTAATTCTGTGTGTGAATTAAGATAGTTTTATATGTAACACCTGCTTCAAAGCTAACAGTATAGTTTATTTTGTTTATTTGTCATTTAAAATTACCTGCTTATTGACTTTCGGTGCCATCTTTGTACCAGCGCTAAAATTATTTACTTTTCTCGAAGATCATTATCCCTTTTATTCTGTGTATCCGTAATAACTGTATAATTTTTTTTCTTTCATTTTTCATGTTGTACCCATACATTAAAAACCCCCTTTCGCTAACTGTACTTCTGTCGTATTAGGAAACTCATTTTCTTTTCTATCGACTGCAATCATGATTTTAGTAACAATGTAGCACATTGCTGGAATTTAAAACAAAGAAGGCTACTTTTGAAGTTTTATATATTAAGAAACAATATTAGATATTTCTCTTTGTGTATAATTATTCTTTAATTTCAAAGTAGTTAAAATCTAATGATTCCTTTTTTCCCCCCTTGGCCTCTTCTAGTGTAATTTGTCATCATTTTTGTGCACTCTTGGATTGCAGAACATGATATCATGAAAGAAAAAGAACGGAGAAATAGTGCAGAGCAAAAAGACATCTGTGGCTGGTAATTCTTGTTTTATATTAACTTTATTTCCACTAGAAATGCTTGAATGTTATAATTTGTATGTCCCTTTTCACATGTTGCTTTATATTGGAGTTTTACTAGTTATTTATTTTACATGAACGCTTCATATTACGTTTTAATGTTTAGGGTAGCATTTATGCATTAATTTCTTAGGTTTTGAATTCCATATTGAAGTGTCTGAATTGGTGCTTTCTTTATATTGTATTGTAATATTCGAAGTGAGGTTGAACTGTTAATCACACTATAATTATCAGAAGTCTGAGATTTGTTAGAGTTCTGTTGCTTCGTTAGTGGTTTCAAAATTACTGCTGTAGTGTAATTTTTTTCCCAAGTGGCCTCCTTTCGCATTACGAGGAGGAGGCTAAACATTTTCCTCTCTGTGTGGCCTAATATTTTCCTGTCCAACGGGGTCTTCTCTTCCCAACAGGTCAGTGTAATTGCACTGCCTGTGTATAAACCAATTTTGTTTCAGTTTTTTTTTTCCGAATTTAGAGTCTCTCTATCAAGTGCTGTTTCTCTTAAAACCATTGAAAGTTAAATGTTGAACAAAAAAGAAATGTAAATAAAAATTTAATGAGTACTCGTAAAGAAAGTTAGTGGAGCCAAATTGTCTTCTGTTAAGGCTGCTCAAAATGTGCTTTTTCTTAGTTGTTTTAAGCATACTTTATTATATTTTCCCTTAATCTGAACTATTTTGGCATATTGTGAAGTTTTATGATGAACCAATTTGCGAAGATCTATTTAAAATTGATTTCACAAATAAAAATTCATTTTGAAATCAAATCAGAGATGTTTTATTATTATCGAAGTAAAATTCTGCAGATTAACTTTCAACTTTGTTTTGCAAAGCACTCTGAAAGTTTCTTTTGGACTTCTTCTTCTCAAATGCATGACAGAATTATTTTTTGAAAAAGCTGATGTCTTTTGCTTATAAGAATGACTGATGCAACTGTATGCGTGTCGCTGTAAAGAGCACATGTTTCCCAGTAGTTTTTTAAAGTGTCCTGTTTTTTTTCTTTAATTGGGTCAATTCTTCGCTAGAAGATCAGACATTGCTTTTGTGTTATTTAACAATTTCCTTCATCTTATCTTCAGTTAAAAGCTCTTCTTCGTAATGAGCGCTTTTATTATCAAGGGGTTTTATAAGATCCCAATTCTTCTTTTGTAATTTTCTGATTCATTGTTTAACTTCTCTGTCTTCCATGTGTGAAAATTCTACGGCATCGTTTGCTTTTGAGATTTGTAAGATTTTTTGGACTTCATTTTCAGTCGATGGAAATTGTTTAAAGTAGCAGATAAATTCTTTCCGGTGTTGATGGATGAATGTTGCACCACGTATGAATGAAATTCTAGCAGTGGACAAATTAAATGGGATCCTTTAAGGTACTGCTATACGCGAAATCACGCTTTACAAGTCTGCGCTCAGCAAGTACCTGCCGTATTAAAAATGATAGACTACGAAATGACTTGAAGAATTGTATGAGTTATGTTGGAATGCAGATTGGGAGTTTAGTCGTGATAGGTAAACAGTCTATACAGATGACCGGAAATAATAAAAATTTAGATGGGTGTACTATAAAGTATTTTACTCTGGCAATTGTCTAATTCTTTTAAAACGGATAAAGTCGTATTATCGAATATGCGCCATCGAATCTAAGCCTCCCAAAACAAAATAAAAAATTTTTCCGAAATGCGTGTAGATAATTAGGAACTATTTTCACAATGGATTGATATAACTTCATCAAGGTAGATAATTTTTTAATTTAATCCATATTTTTATACAACAATGGATTGATACATAAAGTAACAGAACATAGAATTAACCTATTTGTGGGCTATTGTTATTGAAACAATCATTGTTAATTACCACTACCGTAATATACGTACAAATATCGTAAAGTATGAACATGAATAAATGGTAACATTTCTATCTAGCTAACAGATTCTACAATCAGTGATTAATAGTAAACGTCTTTATTCACTATTTTGATGATAACTTTTTTTTAGTCCCCTTCTCCGTAATGGTGTAGTACGAGGCATATCAAACCAAATTGGCGTCTCGCCAGCGTTGCCAATTTGCCCCATTTAAAAATTCTTTTTCTTTCGAAGTGTGATGACATACCGCTGAAAATGTTAAGTAGTTTTCCCTCAAAATCTGCAGGAAGCTTTTGGCATAGTTGTTCTACGGCGTCTTAGAGATAAGCCCATCCGATTCATAAACCGATCCAGCCCATCCACGGCTAGCCTTAAACTGTCGTTTCGGTATTCCAAGAACTTCAGCCTCCTCTTTTGCTTTATTTCTTATAGTGTCGCTAGTCACAGGTTGTCCATTCTTCCTCCTTTCATGTACAAATTCCAAAACGTTTTCTTCAATTTTAGGTGTCTTCCTTTGCGAGGGACAGTGAATTCTTTCTACTAGTTTTTAGTTGCAAACAGTGCCAATTTCTGTTGCTGCCACAAGAGAAACATTGCTCTCAGCTACGTTGAACTCTCTCCCAGCCTTTCTATTGCCATTTCTTTTAGGATAAAGAATTACTTTACGTTTGAAAGTAGCGTCATATGACATTCTTCTCTCTGCTTGCCCTCCATTTCGTGACTACGTACTCTGCAGTATGCAATAATGTGTCAACCATAAATGTAACGGTAAATGTAGTCGAGAAACACAGTAATCCATTGTTACGATTTAAATTCGGTTGACGTCATCGGCGAACTTTGCACTCGAATCTAATGCGCACCCCAATTTTGAGTACTACATTTGGGCAAAAACGATGCGCATTAGATTCGCGTAAATACGGTTATGAATTCCCTGTTTAAGAAAGGAATTTCTCTAGACGTGGATCGTATCTAGCGAATAGCGTGGTTTGGGCTTAGGAAAGAAATCTTTATCGAATTTTACACCGCCAATTCCTTAATCGCCAAATTTGGCTCCCTACTGGCAACCCTACTGTTATACGTAGTTTTGTAAAGAAATTATTTTTCTTACTGGTTAGATTGAATGCCCCGAAACTTTTTTTGGTTACTGTACCTAACAGAAGCGCCGTTACCCTCATGGAAAAAAATTTGCGAAAATATCAAGGAAGGAAGCATCATTTATTCGGATTGCTGGAAAGGATACAATACAAGTGAGTTCGAAAATGCTGGATTTCTGCATGGAACTGTTAATCACAAATATAACTTTGTGGATCCCAACACGGGCGTTCACACACAACATGTAGAGCGCATGTGGGGCTCAGCCAAATGGCGCAACAAAAAACAGAGAGGAACAGCCCGTCATCATCTTGACTCATACCTTATCGAATTTATATGGCGCCAAGCTCAAGCTGTTAATGGCGAAGACGGTTTTCAATCAGTGCTAAAAGCAATAGCCAAAAGATTTCCGCCGAAAAAATAATTCTGCAACTTATTCAAACCGGAAGGGTTTAATTGCTATTTTATATTTTAAAACAAAATAATATAAAAAAACTGTATTAAAAATTATCTGTAATTAATAAATGTACATTTTCTTTCTATTCATACTTTTTTACTCAAACTTACAAATCGCGCCAACCTGGTTGCGATAAACGTAAGTACCATTCGTTTAAGAAAGGAATTTCTCTATGACAGTATGCAGTCTGTATCATAGCTGGAAGCGAGGTGTTGGGTCTTCAGGGAAACAAAATGTTATTTTGTAATTTTTACTGAAATGTGTGTTTAAATTTTGTTGCCTAGATAACCTATTTTAACTCTTTGTATATGAAATGAAACCAAATACAGACAAAGAAATAAGATTGCATTCCTTCCCTTGGTGCAGTTATGCGCAATTTTAACTTAATGGGAGCCAATTTTAAGTTTATAAAATTTTGGTAAGCTTCAGTTATATATTGCACTTTTAATATTTCATTTATGAGTGCATTACACAATGCATAAAAATGTGTGGTATAATATGTTAAAGAAAATGTATACTCTTTGTATTATTAACAGAACATTCAGCAAAATGAAAAATAAATACCTGAACGAAAGCAGGAATTTATCTTTTTAAAAGTTTAACATTTCAATGATTTTTCTGATCTAGGACTATTCAAATGCCTTTTTGTGATATTCTTGATCTTAATTAAGGTGAAAATCAGTAATTTCCATTTCTAGATCAGTAGAATTGTTAACATGTTTGCAATCTTTTATAATTTTTCTTAAATATTAGTACTATGTAATGGGTTTGAAGTGAATGAAGTTAGTTGGCCTTATTTTAAACATGCTCAAAACATTAAATTTAGAAACTAATTCAAGCTCGATGAGATTTTCCAAATGATTTTTTAGTTTTCTTTTATTTCGCGCTTTAGTTTTCCACATTTTCAAAGTGACAAATCGAAGATTAGATTATAGTAAAAATGTATATTCCTTCAATTTGTGTAATATTTTCACAAAATTAATTTTGTTTTAAAATGAGTTTATAATACCCTTTACCCCGTTCAGTACAGGCGTGTGATCATATGTGCATCAGCAGCAAACATTACCTCAATGCCGGGTATGTTATATTTGAATCGCCATTTAATTCACTGTATCGACCGGGTGTACCACATTTGACTTTTTAGCTGCTAGATGTAGCTGTATGCCTGTTATGGGGAAATATATGGAAAGTTAAGTATGGATTACCTTCATTCCTATGCAATGATTTTTATTTTTGGTATTTTGTTTCCGAATGCGAGTGAGATTTGTGGGTGGGTGTTGAGCAATGTAATGTCTCTTAAACGGGCTCTCCCTGCATTGAGGTACCATTTTTATTTTTGGGATATAGTGAGGTAGAGGTTCTATCATTAGAGTATTTTTTTATTATTATTACTCTGATATTTTTCCTCCCTTGTTTTTATTTATTTTATTACTCTTAGATTTTTGGTGCTTTGTGATGAATATTTTTAATCCTCAGCGAAACATATATCTTTTTTTAATGGCAAACGAAAGCAATCTAAACTAAATGTGTAGAATATACACAATCACTAAGTGTTGAGTAATGTAATGGGTCATTTTATATAAACAAATGAATGTAGAATTTATTTTCAAAACATGAGGAGAGCACGGATATTGCATTATTAAAAGCTTTATTTTACTAATAAGAAATATATAAAAGTAATAAAGGTAAGTCAAGTAAAAATTAATATTGCAGGTGATGTCATGATAGTTAAACTCAGTCCACAGGATTCATGTAATGATGAACATTTCAGTCCTATACACACGCAACATCCACAGCTATTTTAGATAATATGATCAGCTTGGCTACGTGGAACTTAAATATCAAAGGAAACTGTCTGTTTCCACCAACTCTTGGAGGATTTACAAGCCGTGTGCTTGCCTCCGCTCGTCTCCAAGTCTGGACGCTCTGTCGCTTTGGTCTCCACTGCTCCGCACTGTGCTAAGCTGGGATGACGTTGTTATGTATCTTAAAATTATGTGGGGTTTCATTACCTTTTTAAACTTTAACTTAACTGACTGTGTGTGCCGGACAAAATACTCAAATATCAAATAATTCAAAACATATTCATACTATTCATCATTCATATATCATATAAAAAAAATCTTATATACATTCGTATAACATATCGAACAATCAATTGTATAGTGGTAGTACAATTTAACTTTTAGGTTTGCGTTGTGAGTAACTTATGCAAAGGAAAAATCAATGACCCCAAATTCAGTTAAACTCCATGTTTCTTAAAAGCCTCCCGGCTCAAACAAATGGAGGGACATGACAGGCCACAGTATATTACAAGATAAATACACAAACACAATTAAATTTTAAACACATTTATTAAATTCTTGAATATATTAATAGTAAATATTTGGGTAACTGATCAGCATCCCCTATCACATATTTTTACTATGAAAATATCGCATCTGTTACACAAAAATTCAGCTTTCAACAATTAAAAGTTAAATTTTTTTTTTCAAATTAAGTAGGTGTAACAAAATTTAATCTTCCAAATAAACATGTTCTCATTAATTAGAAAGTAACGTTTTTCTAGCTCACAAAATTCAGTAGGTGAAACAAATTTTAATCCTCCTAAAACTGGCATTCACTTGAAATTATAAATAACTTCTCAATTTTACTAACTGTAATATTTAATTTATATAAGTAATAACAATATAAAGGTAGATAAATCATTATTAACTGTTCTGCATTTGGGAAAACAAAGAGAGAGAGAGAAAAAATATACTTAAAAATTTCACTCACAGATGGAAACAGTTTTTGCTGATAGCAGGATCCTTAGTGTCCAATCCACATGGAAAAGAGCCAAGCCCATTTTTCTTTCTGTAACAACCTTTTCTGAAGTGTCTAAAAATCATTAGGAATCACGAGTGGAAATTACAGTCTAATAATTCTTCAAACAGCCAGGAATCGCTTTATCTGTCCATTAGGTGGGAACCAATAGTCCAATTTTGAAGGATCTTTATTTCAATTCAATAACAGATAGCTGAATATACACAAGTTTTAGAGCGATCACTTGTATCATCGAAGCGGCGAATCAACATTTTATGCTGAATATTTCGGAAAAAGGCTCTTGGAGATAAACCTGCGATTCCGGTGAAGAGAGAAAATCTGTGCTAAATTTTCTTGGTAGATTGCTCTATATCTGCACTAAAGTATTAACCAGCTCTCAGTAAAATGCTCTTTGCAGCTAGCGCACGTTTCTTTAGACATCTCGCAGGAAAAGGTTCCTTGCATCTCTCACACAAAACTTTTAAACATCTGGCAGAAAAGAAGGAATCCACTAGAGCAAAGGAAAACGCAGCCCAAGTCCTCTTGCCCCGGCAACTGGCTGCACGGCAAAGCTGGCAGCAGGGCAAACGCCCCTCGTTCGCTTTTTTTTTTCACATCGCCGCTGCTCAAAATCACCAACAGGCACTCGCGAGAACAAGACCGCACACTCTTTTTCTCCTTTTTCCTTCTCTTAGCTCAAAAATCAGAATCAGGAATAATTTCTAGCCTGGTGCAAGCACCCAGGAAATCTCGGTTTCTCCGCCTCTGTGAGTTCATAGGCTTTCAAAAAATCATAAAATTAAATCTTACCAATCCCGGAATTTTATGTTATCTAAATTGAGAAAATGACACACCCATGACGAATCAAACACCAGAAAATCTGACAATGCAGTCCGAGAAACATCTGTACACATAACGTGAAAAAAAGTAAACCCCCAACTAACAAGCGGAAAATAAGCTTTACGAGAATCCAATTACCTAAGCTTATTACACCCCCACTGTCTTGAAGTAACAAAATTGAAACTCTAACAAAGCGACGCGAAGACAATTTCCGTTTCACACGCCATGAGTTAAAAGGGCGACACACAACGCCCTACTGCCTCCGTTGTTAGTAAAAGTCTATAAACCAGATGTGCGTCCTTGCAGCCGTCTCCCGCCTTTGTTACAAATCCTACTCAAGAATAACAAGTTAAATAAAACCTTAAGAGCTTAAGAATACTTTTTTCCAGATTAAAATACACATGAATATAAATAAAAAAATATTAGAATAATAATGACTTGAAACACAAATTAATAATTGAAACTCGCGACATAACAACGTCACCTCGCTAGGTATTCTTAAGTCAGCATCGGTCGTCGATGATTTCTACATCTTCGGTCATCTTGAGGGGCATCGTCCTTGATGTCTGTTGAGTGGACATCACCATCATCATGATGTACCTGCAAAGAGAATAAAAAAATAAAACAAAATAAAAAAGAGAGTATCAGGTCCTTAGGTTGAGCTGATACAAACATCAATCAATTTGACCATGGCTTCATATGGTAAGCCGCAGTAGATGTCAAATTCGGTCCTTCATGGCATCCTACTTTTTTCGGTAGAGTATGAAGAAATCCTTTTGCTTTTTGTTGTACAGTATATATTCTATACAGTTTGCAATTACTTTTTCAACTTTGCATTTCAGTCTGGGAATATAGAATTCTTGCTCTACGGCATTCACAGTTTTCTCTACAGCAAAGTGATTAGATCATACATACATAAGGTACATAAGGCAATCATGCATAAGGTACATATTCTAGGTTTATATGTACCTTATGTATGATTTCGTTCTGTAGTGATTCTTGCACTACTAGCAGATCTTTACCATTTTCAAATTTATACAAAATATCATTTCTCAGGAAGAATCCATTTTCTTCTCCCTTCTCAACTAAATTGTTGATCAATTTCACATGTTCATCTTCATTCTGTTATTATGCTAACCGAATCTTCTCAGTTACATCGGATGTGTATGATGTTAAAATTCAAGCATTTCTACTTAGAGCATCAGCATATTTCATTTGGCTTCCTGAACAATGTACAATTTAGTAATCAAATTCTTCAATAAACATTGCCCATCTTGCAATCTTAGGAGTTAAATCTTTCTTATCTAAAGTTTTCTGAAAAGCACTACAATCAATTACAATTTTGAATTTAGACCCTAACAAATAGTTTCTAAACTTAACTGCAACTTAACTGCTTCTAATTCGTAACTACAGAGTTTTTCTTGCTGCGGTGAAGTCTTCTTACTCATATACTGGATTGGGTGATAATTACCATCATCAGACAATTGGAGTAATACCGCACCAAAGCCTTGACTACTAGCATCAGTATGAAGTTCTAATGGATATCCTTGCTTAAATATATGTAGAACAGGTGCTTGGGAGAGAATTTCTTTTAATCTGCAAAAGGCTTCCTGTTGTTCGGAATCGAACTTAAAACCAATACCTTTTTTAAGTAAGTCACTAAGAGGCTTAGCTATTTCAGCATAATGAGGAATGAATTTATGAAAATATCCCGTTAGTCCTAAAAAGCTTTGTAGTTGTTACAGTTACACGGTTGTGGAAAGTTTTGAACAGCAAACAGTTTTGGAAGGTGATGGTCGAATATAGTTCTGTTTTCAATTACTTGTCCCCAAAAATTCAATTTTTCGCTTTAAGAATTGGCACTTTTTGAAATTTATTTGTAATCCATATTCTGAAGCAGTTTTGAATACTCTTTCTAATTTCTCTAAACATTGAACTTCATCATTAGCCGGTACGACTATTTCATCCATATAAATAATTAGTACACCTTCATTTAGCAAGTCACGAAATCCATATTCTGAAGCAGTTTTGAATACTCTTTCTAATTTCATTTAACATTTGGACTAATACAGAAACCAAAAGGAGCTTTAAGAAATTCTTAAATACCATTATGTGTTTCGAACACAGAGTATTTTGTGCACTTTTCATCTATGTGTACATGGAAAAAGCCATTTTTTAAATCTAATGTCGTGAAGACCTTTGATTGTTTTAACCAATCAAGTATTTCTGGAATTAAAGGTAGTGAAAATTTGTCTTTAATAATCTTCTTATTTAATTTCCGATAGTCAATGCATAATCTTTTGGAAAAATCTTTTTTGTTACACAAAACAATAGGCGCCGAATAATTAGAATTGCTAGGCTTTGTTTATTATTCCCTCTTTCAACCATTGTGTAATTTGCTCGTCAGCAATTTTTTGTTCCGCGAAAGACATGTATCTTCTATTTTGACAGACAGGAATTTCATCACATAAATTTATTTGCATCGTAAAGTCACATTGTCTATTTTCCAAGGTTGGTACGAATGATTAATTTACACAGTCTTTCTTTATGTTCCACATTTGAAATATGTGATAAATCAATCTCGTTGACAGAAATAACATTCACCAGATGTGAAAGGTAATTAATTTCCGAGCTACTTCCGCTTCGGGGTTTTTGTTTTAATTAACAGGGACGCCAGGCGATAGTGAAAGATCATAAACATTCTTCAATGACACAGCGAATATTCAAATTTCTCCATAACGCAACGAACGTTAGCATTTCGATATATGACTCAGCAGTTATCAAGTATTTACATTACTTTTATTCCGATGAGAAATTATTTGAAGGCCATTCTTCGGTAAAGAGAAAAGTTAAACTGAATTCATTACATTCTAAAACTATTACAATTTGATTACATAATGACTTAACAACATAAAATTATCGTACGAAGTGAGAAAAAACCATCAATTAAAATATCAGAAATAAAAAAGCCAATGGGATACGTTTTGCTTTGATTCAATTACTTTTAATGTGATACCGCTAAGAATTTAAACTTGGAGAGCCAATTTGCTTATGTAGCTCTACACTGCATATTGTAACATCTGAACCAGTGTCAACAAGACTATCAACTAAATGATTATTTATTTCTACAGTCTTCATAATTCTATTATTATTAGAAATTCGAGCTAAAGAGCTTGTTTTTTGGGGCTCTGGGTTTGACAGTCAGTTGATTTATGCCCAAACTTTTTGCATTATGCCCGAATTCCTCACAACTAAAGCATTTGACCTTATTAAAGTTAGATTGATTTCGGTTTGATAACGCAAGCTTACTTCTGTCTTTAACTTGAGTGTCTACTTTCGGTTTCGTATTTTTAAACTTATCGTTGTCCGATCTCATATTATCATAAAGTTTAAGCCTTTGTTTAAATTCAGATATTGTTTCGCAACCATATAGTATATAGTTTTCCTCACCACAGATTCGGGAATACCATCTATGACATATTTAATTAATGAAGCATCTTCAATGTTACCTCGCGAACACATTTCTTTCATCTTCAAAAATACTCATCTAAAGATTCATTAGGCATTAATTTATGCTTACATAACATTTTGTGCAATTCAGCAGAATTAAAAGCTTTACCAAATTCAGATTTCAAAAGCTTTTTTAAACTTACTCCAGTCATTAACTTTAGGTTCACTCTGAATAAATAGTTTCGCTTTACCTTTTAATGATCTTTTATCAAAAACTATTTATGCAATCACTCAATTTCAAAGAATTTATAACATCTTCAAATTCATCAATCCATTTATCAACATTTTTATTGCATTACCAGAAAAAGGATTAACAATACTTTCAATATCCGAAAAACTAAGATGAGGTTTAAAATTATCTTGAATTGGAAGCTGCATACAGTTATTTACTTGAGACTCATTAAAACCAGGATTGTCTCTTTGATTATCATCAAGCATTACTTCAGAAATTTTATTAACAGTTTCATCTTCAATGTCACTATTTTCTTCATGCAAAATATTTTCAAATAATACAGATAAATAACACAGAAAAGAGACAATTCGGGTTATTACTTCAAATTTTGAACCCTCTGAATTTATGCATAGTACATTACAAACTTTAATTAACTCGTTAAAAGAAAAAACTATTTTGCACTGTATCTATTTCTTATTAAATTCTTCAGAATCTGGTTTAAATATAAAGTCAGAAAATTCGTGTAATCTTTTCCGGTGATTTCGATCTCCATCAGTATTAAAAATACGCTTATGCAAACTTTTGATTTCAGAACTTTTACTATTCTTTAAGGCTGCTTCTAATTCTGGAATTTCTGTTAACTTCATATTGGAAAGACAAGTTTTGTACTCACCCGACAGATGATCGTCTTCAATTGGTAATCCAAACGCTTAAACAGTAATCCAATAAATCCAACAACTTGTAAGAACAGTCCACTAAAATTCACAGTCAAGTCAATACACAGTTCAGAATACTATTCGCACACTTTCGATTTAAAAGTACTTCGTTGAGTTTGTTGAGTTCGCGCCACGGATTGGTCGCCAAGTTTTGTAGAATTTACTTTCAAAAACACACACATGAGGAGAGCACGGATCTATTGCATTATTAAAAGCTTTATTTTACTAATAAGAAATATATAAAAGTAATAAAGGTAAGTCAAGTAAAAATTAATATTGCAGGTGATGTCATGATAGTTAAACTCAGTCCACAGGATTCATGTAATGATGAACATTTCAGTCCTATACACACGCAACATCCACAGCTATTTTATATAATATGATCAGCTTGGCTACATGGAACTTAAACATCAAAGGAAACCGTCTGTTTCCACCAACTCTTGGAGAATTTACAAGCCATCTGATTGCCTCCGCTCGTCCCCCCGTCTGGACGCTATCTCGCATTGGTCTCGACTGCTCCGCACTGTGCTAAGCTGGGATGACGTCACCTCCCTAGGTATTCTAAGTCAGCATTGGTCGTCGATGATTTCTACATGAATAT